TGTATGTAAACAGACATTGCACCAAGGGAAAGGCCAGAATCTCATCTTTCAATCAAAAAAAATAATATATTTTTTATGTCTTTTTTAATCTAAAGTATGAAAATTGAATATTGGTCGTTTTCATGTAACAGTTTTAACAGATTCAGACATTAAAAGTGGAATCAATAGATTGAAAAAAGTGGAATACATCTATCTTATATGTTGCTCTTCTTTAATCTCATATAATTGGTATGAACAAAAAACTCTAAGAATGATATTTATGTTTGTGAAGCAAATATATTGATATAAAGGGCGGAGTTTGTAAATAATACATTATATAGAACAAGTGATGATCTTGTCATACATGCATGCAAACAAACAGACAATTTGCCAAATCAAGCAATAAGTTGACCTACAGTCAGCGTGAGGAGGTAATGAGTCTCAGGAAGTACAAAATATATGTGTGTTAAGGTGGTATTTGGACAGCTGAGAGATTTAAAGCAACAGACAATATAGAATGATTCAATGCTTTTTATTAATAATCCTGCTCTTCACAGGTAGGAAGATAGAGCCTTAAATCATAGCTCTGCTTTAATCATTGCGCCCATTTTTAGATGTGCATAGAGACGTACTTATACAATTAAATTAATTAATTGTAGTTATAAATTAATTGCATGAAGGGAAACGGGGTGTTTAGTAGACATTTTGACAGTAAATTTGATAATTAAGGAGTTTTACAGATTTGGACAGGCTTTAATTTAGAAATTCCACATCAGATCTTTATGGCCTTTGATAAGCAGCATGTAGGTGTGCTCTCCTATTATTCTGAAGCGAAATCAGCGATTTGAAACAGAGAATTTCTTATAACTATTGATAGCAGTGGCGTGCACAGACATTTTTGGGGACAGGTGCTCAGGTTGGAAAAAAGGCACCTTATACGTCGCACAGAGCCACCAACAGCCAAACACCACCTGATGTTTGATGTTTAACGATCTGCAGTCCATGGTTAGCAATGTCACAATGGTGTCACTTGAATAAATAGGAATTTCAAATCCACTGATTACTGAATATCTTTAAATATATTGGGTATATATGACAATTTGCAGATGAACTAAGATTTATATTTAAAACATGAAAAAAAAAACACAACTCTGATATATTATTTCAAGTGCATCATGGATGTCGCAATCTTTTAAGGCTAAAAAATCCAAAAAGAGATCATCTTGTTTCTCTGTTCAGATTATGGAGAGCTAGCTTTTCTTTCAAAAAATGTAAAAAAATTTTTTTGCAAGATTCCAACATAAACACACAAATTGAAAATGCAGCTTAATCTACATGCCCCACTTTAACCTTAACCTTATGTTTATTTTAAAAGAAAAGTTTAACAGACAAAAGGAAACTTGTGTGCTGCAGTTCCCATAACAAATGGCAAATAGATGACATCAGGAGTCCCGACAGGGATCATTACAGAAAATCAATTATTACATCTATAAGTTGCTTTAAGTTAGATTTTTGTCCAGATTCAATTAAAGAGTTGCATTTTAAACCGTACTTTGGCGCTTGGTAGAGGCCAGTAAAGACATTATGCTATCAACTAACCAGTTGCTGAAGGAAGTAAATACATTTATTTTTAGCGTTTAGTTACCTGGACGATTAGCTGGTCCTTCATCAGGGCAGAGTGGTGCTACATGTCTCGTGGAGCAAAATTAAAAAAATCTAAACTCTGGGTTGATATTCTTTTAAATTCATAAAGGGTACTTTGGGCAAAAGCCTAAAGAAAATGAATAACAAAAAAAATTGATTTCAGGAGGGCACTATTTCTTTAGAGGAGAAAAGGGCAGGTGCTCTAGCATCACCTAGTGTCTATCTGGGCACATCCCTGATTGATCGCAACTTACATAAAGGTGACATCAAATCTGGAGAAAACAGAGACTATATTAATAGAAAAAAAGTATGTCGATTAACTGGAGGACATAGGAAATATTTTTTAGACCAGAGTGGTATATATGTCAACTGATTCAAATTAAAATATTGAAAAGTCCAAGCTACATTTTTCATTGTGTATGAATTACCTATAAAACCCAGTGAAGGCTGGCTTGATAGACGTTTTCGAGGTGGATACTGTCCTGACTACAGTCGAGGTGCCTTTCAAATTTCAGCAAATCGCACAATTTGCTGAACTATATCTGTCACCTTCGCCTCCCTCCAGATCTGCCCTCTACTTCCAGCTTTTTTGTCAAGAAAGCTTAGAAAGCATAACTTTAAGAACCTAATAAACATGTTAATACTTTTCCATGCTCATTCAGCCACTAGCAGCAAGTTATATAATACATTTAGAGCAATTGTTCAGTTTCAGTCTTAGAAACACATTTTTTTTAAAGTTGGTAATAGTTATAAAAACCCATTAGAATTTAGGAGCAGTAAAGATGTTACTCACTACTGTAAATTAAATAGTTGCCTGTAAACACAGATTTTGTTTTTTCCCTTTTAATTACTCTTGTTAGTTTAACCGGAAATGTCTTATGTGATAACAAAATTCTGAATTGAAATAAAACTACCACTTAAGGATTTTGCAATGAAGGAGTAAAAAGGATCATTTTCAGAGATCCTTCTTCTAACTAAACAGAAGGTTTTACATCTCTACAGTTAGGTGCACCGTTTTCTTAAGTTCCTTATCAACAGTGTGTTTTTTTTCAGTACAATTCTTACACATTTAATGCCTCTTAACTACTTATCCAGACTTTGTATCTTATGCAACCTTTTCTCCCACTCTTTGTTCTTCCACTGAACTTTCCAAAAACCTATTTTGATGAAGCTCTCTGTGAGGACTGGTCTTTTGCAGCTTACCCTCTTTGTGTAAGTTAAGTGTGACCGTCTGCTGGAATGCGGTAACCATTATTCCTCGTGACCATGTCAGCCATGCCAGAATATTTCTCTCTTAAATATTCCTCCTTATTAGGGTTATGAGATACACTAATTCAATGGGTGACCAATTCATTCAAAGTAAGATCTACTCATAAAAATGAACAATATGAAAGATTTAAAATCTATCAGTCTGTGTTAAACTGATCTGTGTGATATCTTGCAATGAATAATATTAAGGAACTTTTCATACAGTACTTATTTTTAAAACATACATTTTAAAATTAGTGAGGAATAACATCCGCAGACAAGAAAATACAAAAATAAAGCTTTTATTGTGAAAGGAGTAACTTTGTTGTGTACACAGCTTGAAAACAGAGCTGAACATGAGCACCACTAATTATATAAGATACATTTCATAGAAAAACGTTTTACTGCAAACAAAACTAAAACAAGGATGAAGAAGAATCCAAAGTTTCCATAAAATCATGAAT